CTCTGGTTCTCTTCATGCTCAAACTGTGGCTCTGGTTCTCTTCATGCGTTCAAGCAGCACAACGTTTATCCCTGGATCATCATTTGGGTGGTTTTTAAAAGATCACAACAAAGCACTTTTCTTCCCGCCCTGTTATTTTTACCGATGACAGAAGTCTGTCACAGTGACGGAGAACTTTATCCATGCCTATTTGACCCGGGTGTCCACCGGACAACCTCGAAGCGAGTTCTGGTTGTCCATTATGAAAGTAGGTGTCTCGGACCACCGGAAACCTCTTATGTTGACCCCTGCTTTATATCTTTTGTCTTTTACACAATTGCAATTCAAGTTTTATGATTCTTGAAGATTTGACCACATAATGTTTAAGTTTAAATGTGATTATGACAACTTTTACATTTATTGTACACAAACATGTTTGTTTTCTTTCAACCAGTGTGTCTCCTATATGACTGGTGGTTTTTATCTCAGATGCACAAACACAAACTCATTGTCGTCTATAGTTCCAGTCCACTGAGACATAAAGTAAACTTCATGCGTGAGCCAGCCAGAAGCTCCTGCCAGTTACGGCTCAGGACTTTCCCCAGTATGACTTACTGGTGCAGTTTTTACACAGTGACTGTTAGAGGCTTAATTTATTCTCTTTGTTTCTGTCTGCCTCTCTGAAGCTCGCTGTAAGGGAGTGACAGACACAGGTGTGTGGTAACCATGGTGACCATCATGAGCCATCAGCAGCAGGTTTAATATTTGTTTTATCTTTACACTTCTTATCCTGGTGAGGGTCTGGGGTGACGGTGGCCACCCCTAAATATTGTTGGTCCCCCTCAACCAGACTGTTTGTTTTATTCTCGAGACCAAAGCTTTTGCTTGAGCTGCATTTTTTTTATTTCCTCAAGCTATTTAGGGTTAGTAGAACTTCATAAACGCAAAAACAAATATTGTTTTTGACCAATTAGGAGTTTAAAATATAAAACATATATTTAATTTACAATGACAAATAAAACATACGATCTAGTCCCTCATAATAAGGACAGCTGTCCTCAACATTAGGACGCAGGGTCTCAGAAGGTTAAATGCAGAATATTTTTACAAATTTAAATTTAGGAGAGGATGAGCTTCGTTAAAGCTGTTGTTAAAATAATTAGAAGTGGTGGCTTTAAACTTAAGAAAGCTTGTTTCTAAAGAATTGTTAAAATTTAAATGTTCATTTGACCTTTTTAGGAAAAAGGACAAAAACTTAAATGTAAAGACAATTTATGGCATTCCATCCATGTGTATGTAAAGATACACACAATGGGTTTTATACCATAATACAAACACAAACATGCTGTGAACGTATCTGCTAAAGATGCAGATGAACAGGTCTAATGAAGTTTACAGAGATTTGATCATTTTAAACAAAAACACTTGGATTTCAAATCTGCAAATGTAAAATATGTCACCTTCTAAGTTCCAGACTTGGTAAAAAAAATGTGCAGTGCTCACCGATAAGTCGAGCACGTCCTACTGATGACTGACACTATGAGTGGACACTGATCATAGCTGCCATGTTACAGCTGTACGTGCACGCCCCTGCAACCTCTGCAGTGATGCATGAACTCTTCACACACGTATAACTCCAGTAAACACACTCTCTTTATAGTCGTTGTGTAGAAACTTGGCCTTCAGTCGATATAAGCCACAGCCTGAGCTGTGCCAGATCAAAGATGAGGCGATGTGGTAAGATGACACCCTCCAGCAAAGAGGACATAGAGGGGTGTCCTCAGTCATACAGATGTTTTGCTTTACACGTTACGTTTGCTACACAATAAAAAAAAAAAAGCTTGTAATAAATGGTTATTGTTGCAAAATATAGAAAGTAGAACATATGAAAATACTGACGTGAAGAAATGTATGCAGTGATGAACTAAAAACATTAATATCAGTACTTTGCTTTTATCCATCCATTATCTTTACCTGCTTCTTCCATTTTGGATCATGGGGGTCGCCGGTGCCCATGTCCAGCGGTCACTGTGCGAGGGGCGGGGGACACCCTGGACAGGTCTCCAGTCCATCACAGGGACACATAGAGACAAACGAGACAAACAACCATTCACTCTCTCACTCACAGCTGGATAAAATTTAGAGTTACCAATCAGCCTAACATGCATGTTTTTGGTCTGTGGGAGGAAACTGGAGTACCCGGAGAAAACCCACGCATACACGGAGATTACATGCAAACTCCACCCAGAAAGGCTCCCAGACCAGGATTTGAACCAGGGACCTGCTCGCTGAGAGGCAGCAGCTCTACCAGTTGCACCACCAGTGTCTCCCGCCACCTGAAAAGGAAGAAGCGGGTAAAGATGATGGATGTGTTACTTCTCATCTTGCGTTTTTATTTTAATTTTTTTTAAAAGACATAATGCTTTCATTTCTCCTGAAGCTTTGACGTGTTCCTTGTTCTTCCTGCACGCTTCCATTTCAAAGCTTTCGAGTTGGTTCTTACAGTTGGTCACATGTTTTCTTGTAGTCGTCATGCTTGTGACTGACGTGTGTTTTATTGGCCTCTTGTTTTCTGTCAGCCTGCAGGTGCAGCAGCTCTCAGGTCTGAAAGCACTCTCTGTTAAAGACGCAGTCATTTGCAGTTCAAACCCAGGCTCATATTTAGTGCTTGAAGGCAGCAGTGATGCTATCTTAGCCTGTGTCTGCGTGTTACGTTAGGTGTACTGGTGAGATATGTCTTTGACCCTGGACAGATGTTAACAGAACTACAGCTGGAGTCAGCCCTCCATCCTCAAGGTGTCTGCCACAGCTCAGAAACTTTAGTCGACACAAAAATGGCTGTAAATTCATCAACTCTACAGCTACTGAGTTGAAAACGGTGCAGTAGTAGTTGAGCATCATCCCCACCACGTGCTCCAAGCTCTACACACTGAGAGACACTTTGGCTTCAAACTGTTTACGTCAATCATTAAAATACTGTTAAAAAGATTAAAGATGAAACTGTCAGAAACGAACCATTGGATGTTAATGAATATTAGCCAACTTGAAACGAGCTGTAAGTCGTTACTTTGACAGATTTCGAGGTTAAATCTGGGGTGGTAGTTGCTGAGAGTCATTCTCTTTGAATGTCACGATGTTGCAGGACATTGTCCATAATGTCAGTTTCAACAAGCTTGAGCTCAAACAGCTCCATCATCCTCTTCTCATCACGACGTAAAACTCAGGCAGTGGAAGGCGGCGGGCGACATGCATTCCTTCAGATGTTTTAATAACCCAATATGCAGGGTGATTAAAAAAAAAAGTCATTTTTTAACTTGAGGAAAGTTTTGCGACCCAGAATGTTGAGCTGTTTAAAACGGTTTGTGTTGCAGCTTTTGTTTTTATTTTGTGCTTAAAAAAAAAAGCCATTCCTTGAAAGAACTTCCTCCCAGGAGTGTGACTGTTCCTGCAACATGGAACCAGATGTGAGACCTGCCCAAACATCCTGTGATGAAAGAAACATGTAGCTCCACACGTGTACACATCTGTCTGTGCACGTATCGATGAGTTTGACTGTTGCAGGAGCAGCTTCTGATGAACGCTGACCGTAGGCCAACAACAGGAGAAGAACTCTTTAAATTCGTTAGAAGAACAATAGTGTGGCAGGAGGAGCAGCTCAGGCACCACCCAGGGGCGCAGAAGGGTGGGGCACTTTAAGACTCAGATTTCTGCATTCTTCATTTGACGTTACTGGGAGTCCAACTGGTTTCTTTAATAAATCACGGTGAACATAAAAAGTAAAGGTTGTGTTTTCCTGTGTTTCAGTAGAAGTCCCCGTGTGCTTCAGAGTAAAGCTTGAAGTTTAGACACGTGCTTTTATTTTGTAGGTGACTGCTAGTGAAGGCTGGCTGCACAGCTGCTGCCGGTCCGTTCATGACGTGCAGGGCGTCGTGTTCCTGCTCCCAGGGAGGAGGAACAGCTGCACGCTGAAGGCACCTCCTGCAGATGTTTGGTGCTTCACTGTAACTGCATCACAGAAATGACTTCGCAAGACGAGCTGAAATGTTTAGCATTTTGTCTTGTGTTTTAAATGTTCCGGTGTGGAACGAGATGACAGATACTCAGTTTAAAACAGAATAAATTAAACCCTGCTGACTTGTTATTTCCACTTTCAGCCACTTTCTCATCGTCTGACTCTGTTTGTTGTTTCAAGCAAAGTGATGTTTTACGTCATTTGTCAGAGAGTGTGTGTCACGAATGACTCTTTGCTACTTCCACAACTATTTCTAGCTCAGTAACTATAAAACTCACAGAAGTATAGCCAATCTTTTTATTTTTTTGATAAGTTTGATTAGCTGTGGCAGCCATCTTGAATTGAACTGACTTTAGAAGTTAATCCGTTGTAGATGCACAGCCAATGAAAACTTCCTGGGCGTTTCACTTCAATTTATCCAGAGATTCACAAGATATTTTGCTAACAGACAAGCAGGGTTGACTCCAACACTTCATGCCAAAGTTTGAAGCGCAGCTCTTGCACTCAAAGGGTACACTGGGATCAGTCTCAGCTACTTACGCACCAAATTTTAGTTGAACATCTGTCAAATTCACTGAAGTGTCACCAGTTTTGTATTTGCTATGATCACTTTGCTGTGGCGGCCATCTTGAATTGGATTAACTCCAAGCTGTAGATCTACATCTAATGATTGCATTTCCCAGTTTTCTTTACAGTGTAGTAAATATTTAACATGAGTGTACAGAATGGGAGGGGTGGGTCTGGACTGTGAGTTTAAAATCAGCTCTAAAATTAATATATATATATATATATATACAAAACTGGTGACACTTCAGTGAATTTGACAGATGTTCAACTAA